GCTTCGTTGTCCTTCTCTGGACCTGCTCCAGCACTTCAATGTCCTTCCTGACCTGAGGGGCCCAGAACAGGACACAGGGCTCAAGGTGTGGCCTCGTACACGAGTGCCAAGTACAGGGGAGAATCACTTCCCCGGTGCTGCTGGGCACACGATTGCTGACACAGGCCAGGATGCCATGGGCTGTATCATCATGCTGGCTCATGTTCGGCTGGCTGTTGACCAGCACCCCCAGGTAATAATAACAACAGTAACAACAATTGTTGTAATAATAGCAGTAATAATTGTTGTAATAATAACAGCAATAACAATAAATGTAAAAATAAAAATATCCTTTGGCAGTCTAACAAAAAAATTACCTTTGATACGCAGTCACAGACTGCAAGGTAGTGTGATAGCTTGAAAAAAAAAAAGTCAGGGAAAGGAAAGGAGCACCACTTCAAGGCCAGGTTGGATGGGGCCCTGAGCAACCTGGTCTAGTGGAAGGTGTCCCTGTCCACAGCAGTGGGGGGTTGGAACAAGGTGTTCTTTCATGTCACTTCCAATCCAAATCATTTCTGTTCAACTCTGCCTGGTGTGGCCTCACCTTGAATCCTGTGTGCAGTTTTGGACAGTGCAATAAAAGAAAGATACTAAGCTCTTAGAGAGCATCCAAAGGAGGGCAAGAAAGATGGTGAAGGGCCTTGAGGGGAAGCTGTATGAGGACTGGCTGAGGTCACTTGGTCTGTTCAGCCTGGAGAAGAGGAGACTGAGGGGAGACCTCACAGCTGTGTACAACTTCTTCATGAGGGGAAGAGGAGGGGCACGCACTGGTATCTCCTTTGTGGTGGTCAGTGACAGAACCTGAGGGAATGGCCCTGAAGTTGTGTCAGGGGAGGTTTAGCTTGGATATTACAAAAACACTCTTTACCCAGAGGGTGTTTGGATGCTGGAACAGGCTCCCCAGGGAAGTGGTCACAGGACCAAGCCTCATGGAGTTCAAGAAGCATTTGGACAATGCTCTCAGGCATATGGTGTGATTCTTGGGAATGGTCCTGTGCAGGGTCAGGAGTTGGACTCAATTATCCTTGTGGGTCCCTTCCAACTAAGATTTTGTGATTTTGTGAACAGGAGCAAACAGTGAAGGGTGGTGGCAGAACCCAGAAGGTGTCCATCCGTCAGCAGCTGAAGAAGCAGCCTCTGGGCAGCGTGCCTGCCAAGCAGTCACACTCTGCTCTTGTAGGCCTGAGCTACCAAACATTGTCCCTCAAGGTAGCTGGGAAGGTTCTTCCAGCCCTTTGCTGGGAGAGGAAAGGGAGTGTTTCTTGTGGTCCTTGTACATGCTCGTATGGGGGCAGTCAGGAGAAAGTGGTGGTGTGGATATGCACCTCAAGTACACCTCAGCTCAGGGGCTCAGGCACAAGGCATACTGGGGCAGAAGAGGCATAAGCATGCGTTAGAGATGACTGCTCAGTGAGGTGGCACAACCAGGAGTTTCCCTGCAACACAGACAAGGGAGAAAACAGGCATTCAGGCAGGTGAAGGGCTCAGGCAGTCTAGGGCGTTACCGTAAGTGCGTGCCAGGTTACGTGGAGCTTTGAAATACCATGGGAGAATATGAAGACGGATATCTTTTTTAAGAGAAGTGAGTGTTAGAGAAAGGTGGAAAGATGAAGATGGAGAAGAAGGCATGATGTGCAAGTCTCACAGCTCATGCTGCTATCTTAGGAGAGACCATGTCACCTGAAAAGATGCCTAAACAAGAGAGCAGCAAGGAGAGGATGGCTGCAGATTTAGAACTCCATCGGTTCCCTATTGATCCAAGCAGCTCAGTGGCAGGAGACACTGGCAGTAGAGCTCTTCTGCCAGGGCAGAGCAAAGCCAGGGCTACAGCCTGTCACCTCTAGCAGGCCTCATGATACTCTGAGGCATGCAGCAGGGAAAAGCGGGGTTACATTGAGATGGTATCACATAGGGGAATCTTTACCTCTGGAAGAAAGAAATCTTCCATGCATTTTGTGCATTTACACGTCTGTAATATTTAAATTACGTCAATCACTTCCATTTTGTAATGAATAAGCATTTGTGAAAGTGTACCACACTCTGATTGCATCCTCTAGCATTAATTGAATAATCTTCTAGTTTAATTTACTTTCATAATACAGAACACTTAAGTTATTTGCATTTTAGAGCAAAAGAAAAAGCAACAATATATTTAAGCAAAAGAAGTTGAGGTTTTAAAGCTTTTCATGAGAAAGCATGCCACATAGCTGCATGACTAGCAGGACTTACTGAAATAACTAGATTAAACTGTGGTTTAGACAAATATAATATTCAATCTTTTTTATTACTTAGAATGAAATTACATGCATTTGCTATCAGCTACAGGTGTCTATTCTTCCACACAAAAGACCAAAAAGACTCTTTCAGGCAAAAGAAAATACTCAAAATCTGCATCCATGTCTATCCTGGTTTCAGCTGTGCTAGATTTTCTTCCTAGTAGCTGGTATGGTGCCATGTTTTAGGTTTAGTATAACACTGACAACACACTGATGTTTTGGTTGTTGCTCAGCAGTGCTTGCCCCAAGTCAAGGGCTTTCAGTGTCCCATGCTCTGCCAGTGAGGAGGTGAACAAGAAGCCGTGAGGGAGCATAGCTGGGACAGCTGACCTGACCTGTCCAAAGAGATATTCCATACCACAGAGCATCACGCCCAGTATGTAAATGGGGGGAATTGGCTGGACTGGGCCAATTGCTGCTTAGGGTCAGGGTCTGACATCGATCACAGGGTGGTGAGCTGTGCATCACTTGTCTTTCTTAGGTCTATTTCTCTCTTTTTGTTGTTTCCCTTTTCATTACAATTACTATTATATTATTATTATAATTTATTTAAATTATTAAACTCTTTTTATCCCAATCCATGGGCTTTACCTTTTTCCCATTGTCCTCCCCATCCCAAGGTGGGGGTGTCAGTGGCTGCATGGTACTTAGTTGCTGGTTGGGATTAAACTGTAACAGTTCTTTTTGGCATCTGATGTGGGGCCCAATGGGTCGAGATAACAAATCAGACAAGAACACATTAGAACAAATATAAGTATTCATTATTAGTTTAATAGTTGCTGGTTGCACTGTTGATTTATTTGCTCTCAGAGTTGGTGTGCTTGCTCTTAAAGTTATGTGATGCCTTACTTGCAGTCTGTGTTCCCTGTTTTGCCCTTAGACACAAGAAGAAACGGACATGAAAGTCTTGTTTAGTAAAGGAGAACAAAGCGAGGTCACCACAAGAATAGGAAGAAGAGGCAGAACAAGGTGGGGCCTTCCAACATTAGGATTTGCATGTAGCAAATGCCACCTGGGTAATCAGCACTAGGGGATCTGCCAGCTGGGCTGGCCCTGGTCAATCAAAACTTCCACCTACTGTAGAAGGGGATGAAGTTCCTGTAGTGCGTGTAAAAGATATGCTGGGGAAAACAATCCAGGTTACTCCTACCTCGGGCAAAGGAACACCCATCTGTGGGACTGCTGTTGCTCAAGGACCTGGGTGCACTTGCTGGGTAATGTGCAAGGATTAGGAATTACAATGTGTACCTTAAGGGGATTTGATTTTGGATGAGAATAGCCAGTGAATGAAATTCTATGTTAATTGCTATATAACAATGTATAATCACTTCTGTAGTGACTATATGCTCATCAGTGCATTGTCTCTGCCACTCCAATTTGGGAACTTTATCCTGACTGTTCTTATCTCAACACACAGGTTTTCTTTTCTTTCCCCCCAATTCTTCTCCTCTTCCCACCAGGGGTGAACAAGCAGCTGCATGGTACTTAGCCGCCAGCTGAGGTTAAATCACAACTCCATCACTTGAAATTAGAGAATAACACTAAGAAAAACACTAACAAGTCTTCCCTTGAAATCTTCACATCATGATAAATGTAGGTAATTTATCTGGTAAGCTTCCCCAGTATTGTATTCTTAATGGTTCAGCTTATATCCACGGGACCTCAGAGGATGCCTTTTTTCCACCTTCCATTATCAAGTTCTCAGGTATGTAGGCATCTGAAGTGTTTGATACATTCTTGGCTATTCCCTGGATAAATAAAAGTAGCCAGAGCTACTTCAGTCTAATTTAGACAGCCTTATTCTCCAGAATCGTGGAGCACCTTTTCCAAATATTTTTTGATCTTTCAATATTCTTCTTTGATCTTTCAATATTCTTCTTTAAGCACACAAAATAGAACTGGAGTCAAGATTGCTGCCATACAGGGATTGGTTTGTGGTTTTTTTTTTTTCCTCCACACCAACCTCCCCCTTAAGCCCCTGTATTTCATGCTCCCAGTTGTCAGGTAAAGAAACACTCTTTTCCTATACACACTGACAGAGAATATGTATAAACAAAGTAAACCTCAACATATACAGACTCAGTCTTATTCACAGTTATGGTTTGTATCCTTTCTGTTATTGTAAACCTTGTTGTTTATAAAAAAATCTAAAACAAAATCCAGAGAAAACCAAACATTTTTTCTTTCATTTTTAATTTGGCTTCACGCTGAAAATTCAATTTACAAGCCATTCATGAGGAAAATGTCCAGTTGGGAAGAATGAGCCATGATTGTGTAATCAACTCATCAACACTTGTAGTGTATCATTTAGTTCCCTTTTAATAAATCATCATATGCCTTCTATAGCACAGTTTAGGCATCTACATCATATGGCTCACTTCATCACACGCTACATCCATTTCAACCTATTAGACAACTAACAACAGAAGAACACTGAAATTGAGGTATTTCCTTTAAAAATTTACTGATCACTGATATTCAGAGGTAATGTTAAATCATATAGTTTTAAACATTGAAAAATGTACAAAAAACAAGTTCATTTTTAAAAAATATTATCCTTAGTATTCCATGCATGTTAATAAAAAATATAAAAATCAAATTTGTAGCACTGAAGCTATACTTTTTGTTCTGCAAAAGTATTTCCACAATTGGAACCACAAGGTACAGTCATCTTTAGTATATTACTTGTTTTAGCTCTTCATTTATGAAGTATAGTCAGTTCAGTGCAAAGGTAATAGTCTATGTACACATATCATAGGAGCCACATGAGGGAAATTTACAGCAGAAAAAATGCATTCAGATCATTATTATCCAGTAGCACTATATATCATTACAGATTTACACTGCATATCCAAGGGCTCTTATAATAAAAAGCTTGCAGTCAATATGCATCTTTAAACACACCAGGTCTGCTTGAGCAGCCTTGAAGTCATCGACAGAAGTTGTACCTCTGATGGAACAAAAATGTGACACCTTTCAAGTGAGTTCCTACAAAACAGCTTCCTGCTCTGTCAGCACAGGTTTCCAACTAAAAGCATCCTCTTCATGGCAGTGCCTAACTTGGATTCAGTAGCGATAGGAGAAAATTCCAACATTTGATAATTTATAAGGTTAGCTTTTTTGCTTTTGCATTTAAAGTTTCAAGTGTATTCAAAAACATAGCAATATTTTTTCCAAAATATAGAAATGATATCCTCAATGCAAGTTCAACAATAATTCAAGAGATCGATAACTTTTTTTTCTGAATTATTTCTCAGCTTGTTGATTACTCAGTTTTATTCTTCCAAAAAGATGAACTAGTACTTATGATCAAATTAGAAATGTCTCACACACCTGGAGTGATGCTGGGAATTACAAAAAGGTTTAGAAAGTGGTCCCGTTGAACAGATGTCAAATACTTTCAGCACAACGCTGCAACACTGAAGTTCTATAGTACATAATACAAGGTTAGCTGATGCTTAGTCTTGGTCCTCATCCAGGAAACAAAGTCTATCACTTCTAAAGAAATTTACTTCTATTTCTAACATTGCTGATTTACATGGAGCTCTTAATACCCTTAGAGCAATTGAGAAAGCAATATAAACAAATCACCAAACACAAACAACTAGAGAGACAAGCAGCTGCAACAGTTTCACTTTTTGTCTAAGTATATACAATTGCTAAGGAGACATGTTTGACTTAAAGGAATTCTAAATCACATATTTAAAAATACAATTTCGTTTTTAGATGTTTACTTTAAAGCTGTTCTTGTAGCCTGGAAAGTACAGCACTGGCTAATCTAAGTGTCCCTTCTGAAATATAAGAAATATTTCGCTTGAACTTCATTATAAAAGAAAACATAGAAAAAAATGTATATACTTAGGGCATAAAAGATCTTTAAAAGTTTATTTCTTTAGCATTTAAAATACAAAATTGTCTTCATGCTGGATAGCGAATAAAAGATATGTATTTGGGTTTTCCCCCATATACATTCATAGACTTAGAAACAACCCATCGCCAGATGAATTTCATTTCCAATACCATGGTAGGATGAAAAGTATCCATGTTTCTTCAGTATCCATGAGGACACTTTGTGATCACATCTATAGATTCTGTGTTTGGAACTTGGAAGTAAACAGGCTCACACTGAAAGTGTTACCACGAGCCAGAAGTCAATCCCATTTAAGGTTTCATTGTACTGTATTTGTAAATTTGATTTCTTGTTGTTCACAGGAACAAAATGAACCTCATAAGCTCTTTCAGGCCTGCTGTCACCTGGACACATCTGCAATGGTTGAAGTGTGTGAAAAGAAAAAGCAATCCTTTACCTAACAGCAGGCACAAGCTAAAACAGTACACTGACCCTCAGTTTTGGGTGGTATTAGCAGAACAGGACTTCAATATTCAGCTGCCACTCGTGGCTCAGGGAGAAGTCACTTAAGAGGAAGCAAGGTCTCCCTCAGGCTCCCTCTACAAAGAACAGACAGCACAAGCGAGAACTAGAGATACAGTAAACTGAATTCACCAGCCCAAGACGCAGAAAAGATCCTTCTTTACTGTCAGAAGAGGTCACTGCAGAGTAAAAGCTCTGCTGCCATGCTAGCCTCGATTGGGCTTTTCTACTTGCTGGTTTGGGATCAGAAGTTCAGCCTGATTTTTCTCCAGCTGACTTTGGCTCAGAACTGGCATTCTTAAGTAACACCCTATTAATAGTATAACAATAGAGTATTACAAAAGTCATTATGACTTTCCTCTTGTATCTAACATTTTTGGTCAAAGTAAAAAACACCTGAAATTTAACATTTTACTGACAGATTATCATACAGCACCTTTTTTTTTGAGATCCCCAAACTAATCTCAAATGAGGTCTAATGTTCATCTGGCTCTGTGCAATTTAGCTCAGAATCAAGCAGTATGACAACTACGTTCATAAAAAGAAATACTCCTAACTGATAAGTTAATTAGGAGTTAATTACTCAAGTGCAATCTGTGCTAAGGTGATTCTACCGTTTCCCTTCCCAGAGACTGATCATCTGAAAACTGCAAATATATCAGTATCAGTTACAGATGGCCTCCCAAAGACAACCTGCACAGGAGTGCTCTGCTCTGCCACTCTTCCAAGGAAAATAAAATAAGCAGCCACTGCTGTCACACAACTAGTAAAATTATTTTGCCTGGCGATCTTGCAAGACAATCTAGGCAGTGTCAACTGCTGCAAAAATGTCTTAGCATATCTCGCAGAAACACAAACCCTCCATTTTATAAGCCTCTTACATCCTCTCCTCTCTTGGTATCACCCACTTCAGTTTAATCCCATTATACATGATAAATCACATCATACCATCTGGGGAAAAAGAAGCTGCTTTCTACAAAACAAATCACTCCTCCACTTGTAGAAGTCAAAGTAATTATTAGCTTGAAATAAACCTGAAATATTTCCTAAAGAAAGGAACTGCTGTAACTTGAGCAGTGGGAGATGCAGGAAATACTCACAGACTCAAGCCCCAGCACATCTAACGGCACCTGTTTGCTGCTGTGATCTCTCAGTAGTTTTATATCAGTATTATATAATTTATATAATTTATGCATGGTTTATTATACAATTTATGCATCTTTTGATCACAAGATGTTGGTGACTAACACATATATCCAGTTCACTGCTGTAGCTATAAGCACAGAATGATCATCTTTGTTGATCACCTCTGAGGTTGTGCTGGAGGATTTTACCTTAAAGATCTTACAAGGTTTGAATACTGTCATGGTTTGAATATTTTTTTTCAAAATTCAAAGGAAAAAGGCAGGATAAGAAGATGAAATCTCATTGTCTGCACTGCTGGTGACCAAGATATTACTTGGATACATGATGCTACAGTACCTTCAAGAAATCATCCTCTGACTGAAGACCAGCTGGCTTAATTTCTACCTAGTCAGGACAGCAAAATTACCTAAGTGACAATCTCAGCCTTCCTGCTCCTATGTGAAACAGATCTTGCAGTTTTGCTGGACTGAATAATAACTGATTTAATTAATGGCACTGATGATAAATTCCTACTTTCCATTTTGTACTTTTCCTCCTTTTTTTTTTTTTTTTGTAATGATCTATTCAGAATAATTTGGTAATTTAAATTTTTGAAATGAGGGGAAGTTCAGATACTCAAAATGCAGCAAAGTATCTGAAATGCTTGGTTCACAAGAAACTTCTGTGTCTCATTATGGCTTTAGGAGCTGAACTTCAGTTTTGCTAATACAGAACTCTTGGGCAGCACATATGTCATTTCTTATTTCTGGAGCACTCATGAAAGGGCTGCTAGAAGAAAACCCAGAGGCTTCACATTAAGCAAAACACAACATTTCCGAAGGTCTTATGACCCACACTCTGACCTAAAAAAGAATGAAACTGACTTGGTCAGAGCTTTTAATCAGAATTTTGGGGTTTTTTTCCATTCTTGTTTAGTCCCATAACAATATGCAAAGCTGTGCTTATGGTGGTGTGGTTTTTTCTGTGAGATCATAGGTTCTACAGCATGTGCTGCTAGTTTTGCAACTAGTATTTTTTAAGTCAGGGTGTGTTGGAGGTTTTTTTTGTCCTTTTTTTTTTTCTTTAAATGGAATTCCATTTTGGAAGGAGCAGAGAGCAGAAAGAGACTACAGTAGTTAACACGAGAAGTTGTACTTACCACATGGTAATATAAAAGCAGGAAGAACAATTTAATGGCAATATCAAAGATGGTCTTATCAGGGAACTCATGAATTAATAAAACAACATCTGCTTTAGAAAATTTATCAGATGTTGAAGTCCAACAATGATTTTGCTGGAAAAATGTTTACATTTTATGAATATAAAAATATTCCAACCAGCCCCATGCTTAAACTAGCTAACAAAGCTATTCAGTTTGCATGAAAACATTAATCAAGAGCTCTGTACAAATCTTAGTTCTTTTTATTTCTGGCAGCTTTGTCACTAAGGAGGTTGCATCACTTCCCTTCTGCACACGTGTCTCCTTTTCAACCTTAGTGGCCTGAGGATTTACACCTTCTAAGTGGGATTAGCAAGCCTCGTCACTATTTATCATGCTAAGAATATTCTAGCTAAGATAAATGCATTGAAATGTACAGTGTAATTAAGTCATATAAAACTTAAGTGTACAGCCTAGTTTCTCCATAAGGCTTACAAATTACCTACAAAGCCTTTGATGTGTATCTGCTTACAGCAGTGGACTTTGAAAAATCTGTAATAACACTTGCCATACTGTGGTAGAGACAGTGGTTTAAACATGCTTTGCAGCTCCTAAACATGTTCAGCTTTAGTGGGGTTTCACTACGTTAGAAGAGAGATAAATGTAGCAAAAAAACGCCAACCAAACCCCAGAAACTTCAAGTATCTTGGATATCATGATTTTCTGTGTAACTTGAAAGATATTCAAAATACAGAGTATACTTTTTGAGCCACACAAGAATAGCAAAGCTTTGGCTGTGTATCTCATACAATATGTAAAAATTCAGGCTGATGCAAGAGCTCTTCTGGCAAGGGATGGCATTACATAACAGGAGAAAAATGCTCATCAGAAACATCAAACGCCTTCACATCCCTGCATTTTCCATTTTTAATGGAAAGTATTCACATGTAAATGTGTGGTGAAGGGTAAAGGAAGTTTTTACTTCGACCCTGACTTTGCAGCAAGTCAGTAAGACTTGACTGTCACAACCCAGCTGCTCCAAGTCAGGAGCCTTTTAAAAAGGCTTCTCACAGGGAACTCCTAAAACACTTCAGGATCCAGGGTTTGATAGATGAGTTGTAATGAATATAGTTGCAGTCGTGCAATGTGTTACTACAGGTCTCAGCCCTCAAGAGCTTGAGTTCACAACCCTGTGGTAACGTGGCTTTGCTCTCACTACAAGGCAGTCTAATATTATACCTTAATATTCTACAGGTGCTAAAATTACCAGAAGTATATTAATTGATCTCAGCTTTTTGTGACATGATGTGTGATCTAACTATGTTCCCATGTAGGCTGATCCTTCACCCTATCATTCATCCTATTTATATCTCTACCTTGTTCAATAATATCTCAAAAGAGGAAGAATCACAATTAATTCCAGAATCTAAGTGTTTGTTTGTGTTTTTGTATGTTTATTTTGTTTATTTGTTGTTTTGGTTTTTTTTAAAGTATTGCATCCACCAACAGTACTTGCTCACCAATCAAACAATGTGCAGGTCACTGGCCTTCTTCAGCAGGCAGCTCTGGTCTGAACTCAGACACACAGGACTTTCAGTGCCTCTTCACCACACAATGTGGCATCTGTTTAAGGGCCCATCTATTACAGGATGCAGTGCCCTTCACTCACTCTGTACAGCTTAGCTGCATACAAGTACAGCTATTACACTCACCACAATTAAGAAACATCTCCCTCACAAAAAAATTATGAAGCCAAATGAACCTATGGGCTTTCAGAAAACAGACCCCCAAGATACACACACCATATATGCAAATTAGACTCACATATTCAGCCAACTTCAATCATCTTTCTTTGCTCTTTCACAGATGTGGACAGAGTATCTCTTCCTCTGGAGCTTCTCTCACTTCAAGGTTGTCCATGGGATACTAAGCTTACCTTTTTCTTCTTTTCAGACATGTCTCAGGGAACTCTCTCTCATCCTCTGCAGTCTGAAATTCTCAAGTCCCAAGCTCACATTCAAAGCAAAAGATAACTATCTTAGACAGCCAGCTTGAGCCACGTGCCATAAAAAGGCTTACAGAGGAGATGCAACATGCCCAGGCTGTATGTGCCTTCCCTTACATACTGAATTAAATGCATACTATATAATCACAGAAAATAGACCTCAGCGATATCTCCCTGTGACCCTGGGCATGATCAACAAAATCAAATGTCTCCATCTCAGCTGTCTGTCTTCTGTTGTCAAAACATCCAGTAAAGGAAGGCAGGCTCCTCACCCCACCTGGAATAACCTATTCTCCTTAGCTTAACTAGGTGTATTGTAAGGAAATTTTTCTAATGTTTAACTTGCCTTTTAAATTAAGAGCCTGTACCTAGCACCCATGTGGAGAAAAGAACATTCCTATCTTCTTTATAACAACGTTATCCATATTGGTTTTCACATCTTTGTCCAGTCTTCTCTTCTTTGGCTTAAAGGATAATTTTCACCTCTTGTTTTGAGTACTTTCTGTCCTCCAGACTTTATCCAGCTACTCCCCATCACTCTCAGGTGCCCCAACATGGGACAGGTACTTCAGGTAAGGCCTTATCACACCTTGGTAATGCAGAAATACCACCATGCCTCTCACAGGCTACACTGCTGATGCACCCCAGTATCATGAGTATCTTTTCTGCAGTTAACAATGCCCACTTTGTCATACTCTGTGCCATCCCCGCCTCAAGATATAACACAATAATACCCACTCCCTCCTCTGTGCAGCTGACTATTCCTGCTTAATTGTAGTTTCTCTGATGCCTTATTTTTCAAAACCATTTATGCTATTTTTCATGATCAGTTTTAATTCAAATCTTGTCTGCCAGTCTGCTGCTGTAGCCCTGTCAGCTTGGCATGTGCTACCTAGATAAATCAAAAATTTCATAATTACCTCCATATATCCCATATTTTCTTACTTTTTTTTCTTCCTACCCTTTTTATTAAAGCTAGTTCCAGTTTGGAGACTTGTCACATACAGTTAGGGATTTCTAAGGACAGATGCCAATACCCTAATGACCTTTAAAACACCTCCTGCTACTTAAAAAATAGTTATAAAAGCATTTGGAACAAACAGATTTCCTTCTGCTAAAATTCATCCCTTCCAAATCTAGTTTTAAATTACTCTAACATGTGAAAGATTAAAATTTCAACAGTTTTCCATTCCCAAAACCATCACATTTTAGCATAGCCCTACAAAATTAGTCACAGAAATTACTTAAGGGATTTTTTTGTTTGTTTGGAAGCAGAGTTGCCATCACAGTTATTTTGTGACAGTCCTCCTTCCTACTCCTTGAGGCTTTTGTCACATCTACTAATCAGTGAAGCGCTGTGGTTTTATAATAATCTAGATTTTTCTCTGAGACCTCCAGCGGTAGTTAAGGCATCTGGCTTTACAAAAGGAAACAAGTATTACTAACACAAGTGTGATGGTTTTTCTATCTTAAGCTTCATATACATTATATGCAGTATATGTAATGTTGCTATAGATATGTAACTAGCACTTCTTCAGGATGTTCTGCAACTTGTTGCTGGCTTGGCCTCTGAAGTAACTGAAACCGTTTTCAAACTTGGGCTGGTACAATGAAGTTTTCATGATGTGTTCCATGCTGTGTTATCTGTACAGGCTTGCTGCAAAAGAAACCTGTGATTCCCAATAAATCTAAATCAAATACAATTGCATAAACATCTCCCATTAAAATGTGGGCATGATTTGAATTGCTTATAGGAGAAAAATCACAGTTTAGTCATGTCTTTTCAAACAGTTATGTGGCATGTCAGTTTGGAAAAAATTCATGTTTAATTGCATCCGGAAGATTACAGTAGAAAAGTGTTGGGGTGCGGGATAAGGAGCCTTTCCTTTTCATTCTACCATGGAATAGACTGAAAGAGAAACAATTTTGTCATTCACGAATAAAAATAAAAAGTAATCCTTAGCAAGTTTTTGTATTACTGTTTCCAAACTGTTCACTGAAACCAAAACAAAGGGCCAAAATATGCTTGCTCTGCTTAAGAGAATAATCCAACTGAAGTCAACAGGACTGGCTATGCAAATATGGACAGCAAAGTTTGGCCCCAAATAAACATCCCCATAACTAGGGAAAACACTAATCACCAAAGTGCACTTAACACCATAGTAGCTACAGTTTCTTTTTACATGCACAGTTTGTGCGACACTTTGTACAGAAAACTAACCAATGGAATATAAATAAGTGTGCCGCTTCCTTTTAAATATGAACATTAATAATGAAGCACATTCACATTTTTGCCTTTCAAAGACCTTTAAAAAAAAAAACACCAAAAAAACCACCTTTCCCAAAGTAACCTGGAACATGTTGTTAAATACAGCACGTATGATTCAAAGAATGGTATTAAGGTAGAAGAACTTTCACACACAAAACTGGTATTTGCTGTATAATTGGAGTGACTTATGAAAATCCCAAGAAAAGACAACCCTCTCACCAGGAGAGGAAGGTAAGAGTTGCAGTGTTAATTCAGTTTCTTCTGCAGGGGCTTGATTTTATCTTCAGTGTTGTCAGGGCTGAAGTCAGTACAGATACCATTAGGAGCAGAAAGAGATGAAGTCTCCAAGCTGCTCTCAGCTCCCATCTGATCAGCATATAGATAGTCTTCTGCAAAGTGTGGGTGCAACTCAGCAAATGTGTAGAAGTCATCTAAAAAAAAATTCGTTGTTACACAGAATCAGCTCTTTGAAACAGAAGGATGCTAAATTTGAATACTTACACATATATAATCACATGATCTCTTTGGAGAAAAATAGCAGCAGTTAACATAAGGCTATTCCCATTGCTTGTTTCAGCTTCTCAGCATAACTTTACCACATCCCCAGAGCTGAGATGCTGCAAAGAGTTATCTAAGCCCTCTTAAAACACTTCAGGCCAGACCTTACCTTGTATGAAGGGGTAAACAGGCTCAGATTTGCATTAAAATGCATGATGAGCACCACATGCCCTGACATACCATCTCACTGCTCACTGGGGAAAGGGCAGAAGCCCTCCAGCTGAAGGTCACTGAACAGCAAGAGTAATAATTTCTTAAGTTCTTAAAGTCTTTTGCAAACATGCCCTTTAATACTTTGCTTCAAACCTAACAGCAGCTGTCATTACTGCCTTCTACTTTCAAGATTTTGGCATTTTGACAGTCCTAATATTTTAGAGAACAATATTGTGAGAAGATAATTTATAGCATCTTATAAAAAACAAACCCAATTTTAATGTTGGATACTAATATGACAATAAAAAGAGCAATATAAGTTCTTGGGGGAGCAGGGAATCCTTAACCTCAAGAAGTAACATTTTGTGCTAATAATCAGACATTGAAGCCTTGTCACAATTTGCCCATATGACTATTTCTTCAGATATGATTTGAACACAAAACACTGTAGAGGATCCAAGTAATAAGTAGCTATTCTTATAATGTAAACTGACACTAGAAGAAGCTGGATGTGAACCTTATCACTAATTCAGTCACCTACAGTGTATCATGCTCTGCCTACTCAAATTCACTGTGTTATCCCAGAAGAGCTTGTGATCAGACCATGCTGTGAATTCCCCAGCGCACAGGGCAGATAACAGCTGAAGAAGCCTTTCAAAGGAGTGAAACCCAGTTCCTCCTTCAACAGTACTGAAGATGCTCTTACAGTCACATTAAGCATGGGAAAGAGTGCACTACTTAATGTAGATACTGTTCCAAGCAGTTCCTCAAAAAGCTACAGTATCTTTTTTAAAAATAAATTCAGAAAATCCCTTGAAGCAGTTGTTCACACAGGTACAATAGTTTCTATCCAAATTGTCATCCTGGCAACTTTGTCAGGATCCATCCCTCAAGGTTTTTGCAGTACTGGATCCGAATGAAAAACCTCAACATTCCAGGAAGGACTGAATTCAACAGGATGACATTCTGGATAGATCTCAGTAAGCTGACATTTTGAGTTTTGCTGAAATAAGTCGTGAAGATATTAAGTAATATTTCTCAAACTTGTACACAGCAGAGCCCAAAAGAAAAGTGCTTAGCAACCCATTTGCCTCATTCACCAGAAATGTGAAATGATATAGAAGAACAAACTATTCCAGTATTACTTCTAATTGTAGGTCTCACCTTGGAACTCAAGCTGAAAGCAACTGTGAAGCATTAGACTGGAAGAAAAGGTCACCTTAGTCATTAACCTGGGGGAAAAAGTAATTTTGCCTCCTAACCCTATCAAGAGCAAAGAGATAAAAAGAAAGAACCTAAAGTGGAGTTAAGACTCACAGCTACATTTTTGCATTAAGTATGCTTATGTCCTACAAGAGCTTCAAGAGGTTTCTGTTTACACCAAGCCGGGCAGTCTTCAAATGCTTTCACTATTTGTCTGTTGTCATACTGTATATTGTCAGTTGTCTACCAAGAGCTGGTGGAGAGTCTCTGAGGATTTGCGATGCCTACTTACAGAGCCTACTCCAACTCCCCAGAATCATGTCTTAAGACTGAGAAATCTTGCCTCTTTCTATATTACAGCGAAGGGATGAGCTTTGAAATCAAGGCATCTGAACAGTTAAGCCAACACCACACTGCTTAAGAGAACTGATACACAGGTCCTTGGCCAACAGCGTGCTTTCAAACATGCAAAAAGGATGATCCAGATTTCTAACAATTTAGAGTCATGATTATCAATCTAGTTATACAAATTTGATTTTGCTATTGGTTATTCTGTTTACCCACAACCTGAGTTTTTCCCTCAGGATAAGATCTCTGGCTTCAAGGACTCTGCTGTACATGTAGAAATTTATGTTTGACACTTTGGATATATTATCTTTTGTTCTTACAAGTAGGACTCAAGACCTAATTCCTGCTTCACATTCCAACACCCTAGAAAGAGGGAAATTGTGAGCAGACATCTCTGCTGTGTGTGTCCAAAGTAACATCAGTACTTTTCCACTAGACACAATGTTTTGATTTCTCAGAACTTGTCTGCACAATATCTTCAGAACTCTGTAGTCTGCAAGTTTTTCCACCTCTCCTTCCTAGTAAGTAAGAGCAACAAATTGAGCATGTGCGAAGTTCTACATATTCTCAGAAAAGGCAAGAGACTGAATATTTATGGCAGGAACTTTCAAGACAGAAATGCAATACCAAAGGTTTATTTGCCTCTTCTAATTCTCTACTGCAATAAATTGGACATTTATTCTTACTATTAAGCTTTCAGATTTGTTAAAATCACAGGGCAACATTTTTATTATAAAATTATAGCATTTAATGGAAAAAGAACTAAGGAAAGTTTTAAAGAAATTATGTAAAAACCATCCTACTACCTACATCAAAAAAGACTGTTCTTGACTACAGGAAATAAAATAATGAAAATGAGAGCCAAGCTGTGGCTAGGCAGTCCAGATTTTCTTTGATTTTGACCACTCAGGGAAAAAGTGCAGATTAAATGCAACTATTAAAGATGAATATTAAAGCATTAATTCTTTGGTAAATCACATGAACTGGTCTGAAATTCACTTGTACATGAGTTCAAGTTCAGCTATTCTCAAACAATGAAGTGTGCCAAAATTAGAGTTCTGTTAGGCTTACCACCTTAAGATTCTGTGCTGGTCTTTTTGAAGCTGGCGATGGGGAGGTGGGGAGAAGAGTTGAGTCACTGCACAAATCAGTTTGGAGTGATAGGCATGAAAAAGGCAATGGGCAGGATGTATGTGGAAATGCTGGGGATGTGACAGATGAGAGGTACAAAAAAGGAAAGGGGCAGTGCAGCAGGAACCCAGGAGAGAAGACAAAGTAGGCAGGAAAACAGGGAAGGGCAGTGGCAATGGTAATCGTTCCAGCAACTCTAAAATATTTCTGCAGTTGAAGCTTTATGCACATATTGTATGACTGAAACCTAGGAATTACTAGTGTAGAAACTATGATTTACTAACACTGATGTCTTAATTTGCAAATTTTTTACAAATTAAATACATCATACTGATTATTCTGAAGGAAAACAGTTAGGTATGTCAAGGTATGTCATAAGCACCTCTACTGGAGATACATGATACTCAGTTCATACTTAAACGATACAACTAAATTTAGAGCCTTACTTCAGATTCATGTTTTGTGCAGTAATACACAAGTACTTTGACTCCCCAGCACCATCTATTCGCACAGGTCTCAATTTTTCAAATGTAACTTTTTCGCCTCTGTACCACCTACACCACACACTATATATTAGGCAGCCTGGTTAACCCCCTCATTTCCTGCCCCCAGATACAAGAGACAAAACAACAAGACAAAACTAAAGTAGCTTTCTTTAAAAATACATATTCATATACATGGAAGGCACAGAATAGAATATTCTCAAAGAGCTAATCAGCATATTATGTACCAATGTGGAAGAGAAAACTTCTGAAGACATGCAAATACGGTATTTGATATTAAAGGTGGAACTCATATTTGTTAAAATGTAAATTTACTTTGTTTGCAGTGCTTTTATCATTAAAGACAACAAGTCAACAAAAAAAGGCAGAGTTTAATAAAAATATAATTATGTATCAACAAGTGTTCAGGCAACTTCAACATTTTGTGATGTTTCTGATCCACTTAAATTACTCACCATATGTAATCTTTCCTTTTTCTTCTTCATCTACAGCTCTGAAGAGATGTGTAACATTAATCTGTGATACACCCATGGCAGTCTTCAGAATATGCTCTAAATCCTCTTCTGTTATAGTTCCACTTTCTGACTGGTACAACTACAAATCAAGACAGCATGATAAATCATTGCAAAGCCAAACACCAGCTCCTATAAACAGCACCACATTTAAGTAATGCAAAATTAAAATTTGGTATTGGAAATTCTAGTCACTCTCAGACTGATATGATATATTCAGGATTTTAGGTTAGTCTGGGTAAAATAGATCCATCATCAGTTCACCCATGTATGCTTAAAAAGTAAAGCTTATTATATTCAGAAAGAAATCCTATGCTTACATGCCTAACCACTGGAATTACCGTGGACCACTGGAATTCAGTGAAAAGTCTGTTTAACACTAACATATTTTGCAGATATGTAACAGAGAATAATATTTAGTCCATTGAGCTATGTGTCCAAACTCCAAGACAGTCTGTGAAATCACAAGATATATTTAGGTCAGCATAAAGTAGATGGTCTTTCCAGTTGGCCAGATGTAAAACTCAAGATTCCTTTGACCAGCATCCAAGAGTCAGTTTGCATAAAATGCCTATGTCTAAATGGTATTAATCAGCAGAATCCTCCCCCATATAGTGATGGGTCTATACTTTTCCACAAATACTTATTCCAGAAAACAATAATTTGCATATTCTTACATCCTGAAAAAAGAGTTTCCCCACAGAAAGGGTTATCAATCTATCAGCAGTAAAACTAACTAAAAATAGTTGTTCATAGTCTTATTCTATCTTCACATATGTGCAGTGTTTTTCCCTGAAAAAATGGACCTGAGTAGCTCAAAACATCTGTACCAATTACACAGCTTCATTAAACTCCTTAAAATAACTCAATTTGCCTGCACAATGGAACATAAGACAAAAGAGTTTTTGAAACATCCCTGTCTCCTTTTCAAGCATGACAACACTGTAAATACTGAACCATGCTATGAATGCTATTTTGGAAACTTTCTTTTAATTTCTCTACATCATTAAGAAGGTAGGAACTGATGAGATTGAACAAAACAGGCATAAGGATGCATTTTTCCACAAGCAGAAGCTGCTGTCACAAGACAGCACACCTTAGTGGAATAAAATATTGAAGTGCCATGGAAGACAACACTCATGATTAAATCAGGAATCTTGCCTTTTCCTCTCTAGCACCTAACCTGCACACTGTTTCACAGGAAAAGCTGCAAGGCCAAGACTTGTTTAATAAAACCTGCTACATTTTTACAGAACAAGCAGTCAGGTGATGTTTGACGGTCAGGTTCGCATACATCACACTGACAAGATTTACAACACCCTTTAGTTTCATTAGCTGTTCGCAAGGAAGGATGTGTAGCTCTTATTCTGGAGTGCTGCTCTTAGGCTTGATTGCCGTAATACCCCCAATGTCTTTTAATTACCCACCAATGTAGAAATCTGGTGGCTCTGTAACTCCTATTTTTCACAATCACAGAATCATTACAGTTGGAAAGGATTCTGGAAATCATCTAGCCCAACCCCCCTGCCAATGCAGGGTCACCTACAGGAGGTGACACAGGAATGCATCCTGGTGGGTTTGGAATGTCTCCAGAGAAGGCGACACCACAACCTCCCTGGGCAGCCTGTTTGAGTGCTCTGCCACCCTCAGTGCAAACGAGTTCTTCCTCATGTTGAGGTGGAACTTGTGTTTTAGTTCATGGCCATTGCTCCTCGTTAGCTAATGGCCATAGTTCCGTGCCATTGCTTCTTGTCCTGTTGCTGTGCAGCACTGAAAGGAATCCTCTTGGCATCCACCTTTGAGATATTTATCTGCATTGATGAGATTCCCCATCAGTCTTCTCTTCTCTAAACAGGCCCAGCTGCCACAGTCTCTCCTCATAAGAGAGATGCTCCAGATACCTAATCATCTTTGTGGCCCTCCCCTGGATCCTCTCCAGTAGCTCCTTGTCTTTTTGTACTAAGGAGTCCAGAACTGGACATAGTATTCCAGACATGGCTTCACTGGGACTGAGTAGAGGGGGAGGATCACTTCCCTCAGCCTGCTGGTCACACTCTTCACCATGGGCCCCAGGACACCATTGGCCCTCCTGGACCCAAGAATACACTGTTGGCTCATGGAAGACTCCCAGGTCCTTCTCCTCAGAGCTGGTCTCTAATAGGTCAGCTCCCAGCCTGTACTGGTACTTGGGGCTATTCTTCCCCAGGTGGACCCTACACTTGCCTTTGCTGAACCTCATTAGGTTTCTCTCTGCCCAGTTCTCCAGTCTATCAAGGTCCTGTGGAAAGGCAGAAAAGCCTTAAGGTGTATCAGCCACTTACCCCAGTTTTGTATCATCAGTATATAATGATACTATTTTTCAAGTTCTTCAGCCATATAATAAACACCTTCACTTTGAAAACTTGTAGCTATATGAAATGTTGCGCTTTCCCTGAGAGTAAATGACAATATGCTTGGCAAAAAGTAGCACGTGGCAGAGGACAGTACCTGTTCAAAGTCATACCTTCATGAACTGGTTAGAACCTGCAATAACTCCAGGTAAGCTCTGTGAATATCTTATGGTACATGAAGGCAGGACATGAGGCAGGAAAGGATTAAAAAAAGGTTCTCTTTCCTTTTTTTCTAGAATAATGAGCAACATTTCCTCAGTGTGAGACTTGTCTTAACCCTTCCAATCATCACTAGCAGGATAAAATGAGCCATACCCATTTCCCTTTCTTACATGCATAAATCATCTTTGCAATTTTATAGCTAAATTTATATTTTGCAATTAACCAGGCAACTAAAAATTATGTGTTAGGAGTTGAAGAATGAAGTAGATCATGAAGATCAGAAATTTTACAAAGAAAAACAGTTCTATTAAATTCAAGTACTTCCAAAAGGAAAATAACTGTCCAATCTGAGCTTTTCCTCCTCTCAAATGGTAAAATTATATTGTGCATTATGAATCACAACAGCTAAATTTCACTAAAATATTTCCCAAAAGCCCCCTTCAATTTTACTTTAAGCATGTACATTTTACTATGATGACACAGAGCTGACCAAACAGGACCTGACTATTTCTATATGCCACTGTATAGATCAAATTGATCAAGTAAAGACAGAGACCTTTCTGCTTTTGCCTCAGAAGTAGTAGTAAGTAGCAGCAGTTACTAATGACAAATTTCCCCCCAAATTTATAGGAACTAAATATTTTTGTTTGTTCCTCCTTTGTCAGATTTGATTCTGGTTGAAGGGTAAGCCTATGCATGTGAACACTAGGCATCCAAGGGAGTCTCATTTCTTGAGTGTATCATAGTTAAGGTTACACAGGTATGGTGAGGGACCTGAAAATAATTACTTGGAAAATAAGCTACCATGTAGTGCCATGCAACTGAATGTTGACAGCATCAAGAGTTAGCATTTTCAGTTTCAGCAACATGAAAGACCATGTGAGGCCAAGCCAAAGGGAAAAGATGATGCAGGATATAGCAGAGTTTGCACGTTGAAATAGCAATACTGAAGAAATTAATGGAAAAGAAATATTTCAAGGTGTCTGAAACCCAACAGAATGACAAATATTAAGCACTGTTGCTGTCACTTTGCCAAAAAAGCCTGTATTAATGATCTATGCTGATGCTACAAAAAACCACTGAAAATAGAACATGATCAGGAGCACTTCTAGGAAGCATAAAGTCTGGAAAAAGACTGCAGGACCACCACAGAAGCATGGGAAGACTAAGAGGGAAGAAAATCTTAATAGAAAATAAAAAAATAATCTCTATTAACACGTAGGAATTTTTTAAAAAATACTGTATTGACTTGAAAAGTATGATTTGATTTAAACATTCTAACAGTAGTAAGTACAACTTAAGAGCCTTTAGTTTAGAGGAATCAATACAAAATACTTGAGGTTTGAGACTCAATTTGCTGAGAAGGATTCTAGCAGAGTTCTACAAATAACAATTTCAAATTGCAAACTTCCATAATTTTACACAACTTAAACTTGCAATGGATTTCCTCTTAATATGACCTCTTAATCTAACTTTCCATTGTTGTAAAATATAATAAAATAATTAAAGGGAATGTTACTATTAAGTCTAATGGCAGTAAAAAAAATTTCTAAAAATAAGTAAACCACATAAAGCAAGAAAATGCTGCTTACCTGAAATGCCAACTGAATTGTTTCCAGAGTTTTGGATGGTTTACAGACAACTGACAGAGCAATGACAAATTCCCGAATGTCAATTACACCATCTTCATTCTGTGAAGGAAAACCTCCCCTCAAAATAGTGCAGTTTGTATGAGAATTTTCATAATAACAAACAGTTGCTAAAGATGCAGATTATTCAGAAAGATAGTTACATATGCCATGGAGTCTCACTGAAACAAAATCACATGAGGGCAAGAACCTGTGTGAAAGCTATGCAGGCCCTTTTTGGAGTCTCAGTCAAAAGTCATAGTTTAAATATTCTTAGAAGATAGTGCTGCTGCTGTCACCCTTCACTCGCATATTTAAGATTTTTACATCAAACCATTTGAATTACTTGGCTGAAATTAAAACCAGAGAACGAGAGGACAACACAGCCTAATTTAAGCCATGAATACAAGAACACGTGCTCTTTGGTCTGAGAGAGAACACTGTGGACATATCCACCTCCCGGTCTAAACAGCACCTCATCCAGACAAAGACAATAGTAATTTCCCCATTCCTCTGACTGCCAGAGGAACGAGAAGTCCTTCAAGTTTCAGGTATCCTAGAAAAACGAGTAATTTATTTACAAGGTAAGCGAAATACCAGCTAACAGACGCTTCATTCAGTTGCAATGAGCAGCAGCAGAGGTTTAGCCTGACCCTAAGCTTTCTTCCTCTTCATATTTTGCATCTAGAAAGAAATTTTTGTCCAGTTGATACTCCTTTTAACTTCTACCTGAACAAATGCTTTATTTAGGTGCCCTTATGTTGCTGAAAGGGACATGTAGTAGGCAAACACTATGGTGAAATGCTCAAAATCATATCTTGGTGAATGCAATTGGAAAAGAAGTAGGTTGAAGTGGAATTTACAAAAAGTATTAACATTTTTATTATATGTTGTTTCTTACCTCATCAAAAAGTGCGAACATACTTTCTAATGTGTGAGAAACCGGAAATTGCAAGTATGCTGAAAATTCTTTAAGATCAACCTTTTCTTTCTTCATTTTCATGGCACTTGCAGCATATTTATCAAGATCATCTTCAAGTGTTTCTGGCTTCAGCCTAGAAAACATTATTTTTGCACATTTTAAAAATAAACCCAATTTTAACAATGCACATTTTAATACACCAAATGAAGCAATGGATGATAATGGTGTAAAGCATTAAAAAAACTGGAATCAGAATTATTACACAAATTTTTAATAAAATACTGGATTCCTATAATTTTAAGGCTCTCATTAGTTCTGGAACTGTATTAGAAGTTACTACAAGGGTTTAAGAACCCTGGACATAAATTTGTGTCCTTTACCTTAATTATAAGTCATATGTGTAAGCAGTTCAACATGAAGAAACACAGTCTAGAACTAGCTAATAAATACCAAGCACGGAGAAACTAGGTGGAATTCAGGTCACCTGAATACGGCTGTATTGTAGGACAGCAACATAAACCAATTACGTTTCCGAATTTACTAATGTCACTGAACAGGAAAGACCTGATGCATCTTGCCTAAAAAAAAAATCAGGGATTACATAATAGCGATTATACTGTTAATCCTGTTTGTCAGTCCTCATTTTTCACATTCAGTCCAGAGTTGGACACCCTTATAAGGTGACCTACACAAAATCATAACAGCGCATACAGCTACAGAATTTCCTCAGTCCTTCTTGCAAAACCAGATTTTGACTGATGAATGAACAGCTTTATGTAGTTATCTACTTCATAGTTGGTTTTTTTTCCCCCCCTAAGTCAAGCTTCCTGTTTCCATTTGGCAAAAAAGTCTTACAATGAATATAATAAATGGTGCTACAGGCATGCAAGGAAAAGTAGATTCTCTCCCTAATACAACATCAAGCACATCTTGATCAGCAGGTTTCCTCTGAAGTGATTTAGGGTAACATGGGCATCCAAACTTTCCAGACTGAAGACAAAAGAAGTCAATAAAGTCTCTCACAATATCCTTTTGCAGTTGCCTGTTTTGCTGTTCACTGCTGCAGGCAAGGAAAAGCAGTTATTTACAGAACTCAGAAGCTCACACCAGAACTGTTCCCAGGCCGCAGCTGGGACTCCTCAGCAGCTTCCTCTCAAGTAACAAGAATGAATAAAATGCTTAATATCAGCATTCTCAGGAGCTTCTGAAAGAAGATAAGAGCATTTTTGATAGGAAGATTATCTGTTACATCAGCTCCAGAACTTGATTGTTTGCTGTAATGACCCTTCCTAAACATCATGGTTTTTAAGTAAAAATACAACTACCATGCTGTCTGTCAGGACCTATACTGACCAAATATGTATTACCTAAACAATGCCAAGTCCTGTATTTCTGAATTATAAGATCTGAAGAAGGTCGTGCAAGAATTCTTCCAGAGACCCATGGCTCCCACAGAACATTCGTTATGTTCTTCATCCTAGCATTAAAGCACCTACCTCAAGATTTAGTTCTAGACAGCATGAAAAGAGGAGTGAGACACCCCTCTGCAAACATTCACTTTTCATGACCAAGTAGAAAAGTAAAAGGAACAATAAAAAAGAAATCCATAGAGGATTTGAGATGCACACAGAACTCAGCTACTCACATGCAGGATTACATGCAAGAACTGTCCACAGATAATACATCCCACTGTAGTAGCTGAAATGGATTTTAACTGTAGGATAAGGACAGCTGGCATCCAAATCCTTCCTTGAGATAAGCCACCATTGACACAGAATATAGAGTCCAACATCTGTCTCTAAATCAGAGAGATTTGGTTTGCAATGAATTGACTCAAAATTCACTTTCTATAACTGAGGGAGTACCCCTTTGGTGAGTAGTATTCAAGACTTGCAAGATGTCTTCTTCATCAGTAATTAAATTTGAAAAGTTAAAATACAGTTTGAAGGCAAAACCTTGCATGGAAAATAGCATGACTTACCACAAAACTTACAGACATCTTGTGGTTTTTCTTTTCTAAATACAGAAGACGTGTGCCGATCTCAAAAGTAGTATGTGGATCAGTGAGGCAAACACTACTTCAACTTGAGTATATCTGCATTATACTTCTCGTAATCCAAGATGGGCTTCCCTCTAGCCCTTCAAAATCAGAAAGTAATTGATGTATTGATGACGAAAGCTGTTATACTAAAGTTTTCTGAAACCAAGTCCAAGTCTTGTAATAGGTTCTGAACCCATGTGAAATAGTTTTAATGGCTTAATTCCCCTACAATTGTTACTTTTATCTCAGTGAAGGCCATAAAAGCTAGAAAGCGAACAGCAAGTGTCTTTACTGATGAAGTCACGTTTGTTGGTCTAATGGCGTCCACACAGGATCTAGGCTTTATGATAAAAAACATTATGTGCTGTTGTGGTGATTTGCTTTATTTTCTAGGTCAGTGCACACTAAAGAGAACAAAAAGCCATTCCTGAGTGCATGAAGATGGAAAGGACATTTTTCAAGATTATTATTAAATTCTGAACATTAAATTCTTCACAGCAGACTTCACAAGGAAAACCAGATCCCTGAAGGTAGAGTATTTTCAGCATAATTACCACTATTTTTAGCAAGTAAGCTAGTTTTAGCTGAATTTGACTATTTGAAAACAAACTCCCTTCTTGCATGCTGGGAACCTGCCAAAAACCTTCTAGTGTCTCACAGAGCTGGAAGAACAGCTGGATCCTGTAGATAGCTACTGTAAACTGCAAGCACAGAGAAACATGCCCTAAGCCAGAAAAGCACAATACATTCAGTTTTGTGTCTGCTGATGTACTTCTGTGCTACTTCATGTCATAGTGGAGAAAGGATACTGAACAGCTGCAAAACTGACCTTCTTGAATACTCTGAGTACTGCTTTTATCAGAAATGCAGATGAACAACATCCTCCAGAAGTGGTTGTTTTGTTTTTTTTTTTTTTATAGATAATCTCTGAACTCTCTGAAGTTACTGAACTATTTGTTAGCTGTGAGGGTTATTACACTGGGGATTAAAAGTTCTGGACCACCATTTCAGGCACACATGTAAAGCAGAAGTTTGCATTGTAGCCCGAATAGTAAAGACTGTTGAGCAAGAACAGACAGGCATCAGGCCTCTGAGGTAATTATATACTCCTTACAGATCTTTTTAGAAGCCTATAGTAGCATTGTCTAGTAGGATCCTCACAACTGACTTGATAATACTGGAGAGCAGTAGTCAGTAATTCATGTCATTCTTACCAAAATACCAAGGCTTCTAAGGGACAGCAAAATTGATTAAAACCAGTAGGTTTGAATTTCATTGAATTTCACCAGGGCCAGAGAGTATGTAAGGAGGTAAACCTTACAGGCATTCTAAGGTTGTTGAATATTCCTCCAGGGCAGACATCAATAGTAGCCATCACATGGGTACAAGATGCCAGTAATACTCAGGGTAGGAAAGCAAAGAGAATTCAAAAAGAGTTCAAACCCAAATTGCTGCCCATTGCTAAAGGTAAAAATTACTAAAAATAATCCTACTGCAAAAGCAAAGAAGTCTAAAAGGCAAGAACAATGGATTTTCCTGAAATATGACCTAAAAAAGATAATGTGGTGCAAACTGTATTTTTTGAAAGACATAGTCAGCAAAGCCATGCTGTCTTCAGTGAAAAGTACGAAGAACCTCAGAGTCCGTGTACTAAAGGCATACACCACATCAAGAACCTGCCAAACCAAAGAGTCCTGTGCCACATGAACACCAATAATAAAACACACATTCACCATGTTACCATATGATAATTTTGCTGTATTTTCTATACTCATCGCTTTTTGAGGCACAAAGTGGAGGCCAACTACCATGCAGGAAGACAAAATGTGTCATCTTGTACAAGTATGAGTGCTGCCAAGCTGAAAAACTCCCCTAGGGAATACAGATGCATAACCTTCCTTTTTAAAGAATATTTTTTCCAAAAAGACTTTAAATTAATAAGAAAAACCAAAGTGACTAAAACAGATGGACATAACACATCCACTCTTGCTATGTGTTCCAAATCATACCTAGGGTTTTAAAAATCAAAGATTTGGGATAAAACAACCATGAAGTAAAAAAAAATATAAAACAAGCATGGGATATGCAAACAGATGATCTATTGATTCTTTTCTCCTCCCTCCTTACAGCCAACTCCCCCCCCCCCCAAAAAAAAAAAAAATTTCAAAACGCCAGGACCAGTAGAATTACTTAAGTAAAATTTCAGGTTACTTTAAGACCTGACTTTATAAGCCCCATCTAACAGTATGCAGAACACAGTCACTAAAACAATTCTACTCTGGCTTACAATATATGCTCCATTTGGCTTTTTTTTTTCCTTAGGAAAGAGAGATATCTCTAATTTCCAAAAACCGAAATTAAAACTGAGAACAATCACAACTAAAAAAATTAGAAAACCGAATTCTGTAAGAAGCCACTGATGGTCCAGAAGCCACTATTCCGTAAGAAAGAGGAACAACAATTAAAGTTGGAAGGTGCTTGTAGTTCATGAGCAAAGTAGATACAGGAATTGAAATAAACAGAAGTTTGAAAGAATAAAAACAAATCAAATCAGAACTCAAAAACCTCCTTGCAGGCAACTACCATAAAGCATCTCATAAAAAGATGGAGATGTGATTTAATTAACTGCATTAACAATTCCTGAAGAGATAATCCGAAGGCATCTTTAGTAAGGCACAAAATCCAAACAAGATTCAATGTCTAGAACATGGTAACAGACCCAGCCCAAGTAAAAACAGAGACTCACTTTAAACAGTGGCTTAATTAATTATGCAACAAATAATCAAACAAAGTAGAGGATTTACAATTTATAAAAGCTATAATACAGACTGCATATAGCTTAGTAATCATCTCATTGGTCAGACCTAAATTATCAGTCTCATCAAGAGAAGCATGACTGCTTGAGGACTAACGAATGCACAATTTGAGAAGCCTGAGCTCTTTGTTAGATGAAGCACAAGAACTCACTGCTGTGGCTGCATGGCTTCTGGATTGAATCCCATCCAGCTGACCACAGACTAAGCAAATTTTTCAGACAATGACAATGAATTCTCTAGATACATAATGTGCACAGAAATAACTCTGCAGTGCAGCAAACTGAGGTGTAAGTTGATTTCAAAGTATGTAAACCAAAATGTAGTGTCTGAATTTGTCTCACTACAGAAATCTTTCAAAATTTCATATTACCTCAAAGGTATGTCATTGGTCAAAAGCAAGTATTAACACTTGATGAAAAATCCATTGGCTAAAACTTACTGTTCCAGTCATTTAGCTAAGCAAGTGGATGATCTTAGTGCCTCCCTGGTCTCAAAACCTTTGAATAAACACCAAAATGACTACATCTAATCAAACGTGCATTATAGATGAAGTCATATTAAAATCTTCATCCAAATGTGCCATAAAAATACCATCATAATAGCCTTCTTATTGGCACATACCCAACTCCAGACAGGATATTTCACCAGTGAATAATTGCTCAAAGCAGAGAGGGAACTTTTGGGCTGCAGGGAACTTCACTCACAAATGCATGTAACTGTTTTAGAGGCCAAAACAAAAACCCAGAAAAGCATAATTTGAAAGAACAGTTTTAAACTGAGCAGACAGAAGCCACACAACTTAACAAGAGGATTAGACTGAATCCTGGGATTATCAACTGCATAATAAGAGACGTGGGTGGTTGTTTTGTTTCGCTTGCTTTTTTTTCTTGGTACTGTAAATTCAGAGCCTTTGAAACAAAGTGAGAATCTCTCTTTGCCCTTAGAAGCCTCTCCTGTCCTAACGGAAGTCTTTTCAGATGGAAGTCCTGACAATGGATTAATATATGTTTATCATCTGAATGCATAATGTATAGCTGTCCTACATTCCTTATGCTCCAATACAGCTTTGCTCTTCTTCATTTTCATTTATGTACACAAGCTAAAGATGAAGGAAAAAATAGTGGAAGGAAATAAAAGTACAGAATGAAAACATGAAACTGTGCTCTATACTTTCAGTTGATGAGACAAAAAATCAGAAAAGGTGTTTGCATGACACTATGGGAAGAAAGAAGAGAAGATCCATGCTGAATATACTGAGCTAAAGTTTCATTAGAAAGTTCATCTGGCAGTAACCTACTCAAAAGATCAACTACCACTTTCTGCTTCTTGGGAAAGGGTGACCCCTCTGTCCTCACTATTATGAGGTTAATCCACTCACAAGACTGCCATGGCAGCCCTCGTTTTCCCTTCACAGATGTCACAGGAAAAGGCAATTGACTCTTAACTGTAACATATATTAGGAATCCCACAGTATTCCTGACCCTCTTCAGAAAGCATCTTCTAGTTTTGCTCAGGAATGAACGCTTCAGACTCACTCTGCTGACTTGTCAGGCAAAAAATAAGAACTTTACAACCTACTTTACAATCATTAGGATTCAGGGGTGCTGCTTGCAGGTGAATTATAGTACTGATTTGATTTTACATGGGTGTTTCCCTGATCATATTATGGCAACATTCCATATATATTCATAAATGCGATATTTTAATATGAAAGAAAAACTGTATAAACATGGATATATAATAAATATGCACCTTACATATAAACATTGTATATGCTCACCCAAGGCTTCTCACAAGCTTTGCAAATTCTAAAAGACATGTATCTGAAGGTAGACGAAGTTGTCCTTCAGCCAAAGCTAGCTGACAGTCTTCAAATGTATAGTCTGTCACTGGAACTCCCAACGCCCTTAAATAAACCAAAGAAACACTGTAAATAAGACAATCTATGAAAAACGAACACAATGATCACTTTTTTTAACAGCAAAAAATCCTGTATTATGCTCTCTAGTCTGAAAAATTATAAGAAAGAGCCTATAAAAGTAAGTTCTCATAGAAAGAATGAAATATGGACTTGATCCATTGTAAAACGTCTATTTTGACTTTATGAGTCCATACAAATATGAAGAACAAAAGGGAAAAATTATGCAGTGCACAGTTTCATAGACATATAAATTCATCTATATTTTCACAGAAGTGAATAACGAGGGTTTCAAGATTTTTAATTTAGAACACAAATACATATTTATCAATTATATTCAATATTTTTATATTAATTTATTAATGTCAGTGTAATCACTTGAGTAGAACAACTACTACCTTCAGCTAATACTAATATTATATGACAGGTGACATTTCTCTATAAAGAATAGCTAGAACATAACATATAAAAGCAAGCAGAGCTAATCTCCATGCAAACACAAGTCATTTTTAAGCGTGTGACATGAGAAAGGTAGAAGAAAAAATACTCCCAAGCTTTTATATATCAACAATTGAGTATTCATTTTTGCTTTACTTTTAACTTCATGGTCTGTAAGTAATAGCAGCACCACAATACACTCCAAGGAAATCCTGATATTGTAGCTGCCCTTCATTTGCTATGCAAAGTTGAGAGGAAGACATTTTGGTTTGGAAGAGGCATTTAAGATTTCAGTGTAAGATAAAATTTAGAAAGGAAACACTGTTCTGTATGAGTTACTCATCTGCCACGATTTCCATCATACTTGATTTTCCTTATACTAATAAGGAACATTACCTCCTTTATGCAGCCTTTTCTAGTTTAATGAAGCCTCGAGAATTTTTTTTATTGACTTACCTTCATTCTTTCCATGTACAGTTTTTCTAACTGACTGCTAATCACCTTTTTCACATGTGAAGTTAATATACACTAATGGCAAGATCGATACAAAACCCCAAGGCATGCCACAGTCATTTTGGCTTTGATGACAACTCTGCATTCAGTTCTATGCTTTATTATAAATAGTTCGATTTGTAATGGCAGTTGCTTCTCATACAATGAACAATTTCTGTTAAGCACTCTGTTCCTCAGAATCTCATTCTAAAGCCTCTGAATGCCAATGTAAATAACATAAGCCAACATAAGCTCTTTTGTTCATCAATTAATGACCAAATTTCAGGAATTCCAAGATGTTAGTAAGACATGCATTTAACCTTAAAGCTACTGGTTTCTCTCTTCTCTTTAAGGCTGACAAAGTCAAATATTCAAGAAGAACACCTTGCTAATAGATATTCAACCTCAAAAGTACCAAATACATTAAAAATAGGTATTATATATAAGTTATTTATGAACAAAACAAGGACATAAAAGGTAGTGATCTTGAATCAGTAGCCTTCCTCTTGCCAAGAAGAAACAATGAAAAGGACAAGGCCAACCAAAACAAAAATATACAGGTACATAGAAAAGTCATCTTAAAATCATGCAGACTGTTGAAGATTAGATTGCCTCATATTGGTGATCTTAAGCAATTAAATTCAGTTCCTCCAAATTTTTCTCTTCTTTATGTGCTCCTGTTCCTCCTCCTACACAGTGTCCCAGTACTATTTGTAAATCAGTAAACACTTCATGGAATGGAAAAGAGATTCTTGTGACACTTTACTTCATCGCAAAGACTTAGGGTTAACATAGTAATGCATATAGCGTAAAATACAGGTGAAGAACTCCCCCATGCTGTGAGGATTTAAATCCATTTCCAAGTTCAACCTGACTTAGAGATCAGGTACTGTGACTTTGTCAAAACTTCTGTTTTACAGTATTTAATACAGGGTATTATAAAATATTGAATCACCGGTATTTTACAATACAGAATCAATTTTCCTCAAAAGAAGAAAAAGAAGCAGATGAAAGAATCTATCCTGCCAGTTGAGATTACTTCCCATTCCCTTCTTTTGAACTGTCTGTGTGCTCAATCATCCCTAGAGCCTTCCATGTCAACTGTCAGTGAAATAGCTGAACCCCTAGGTCAGGAAGGACATGCTATAAGCAGTACTGTTCAGAGCAGTATACATAAAAGAATATGGTAATAAACAAAGATCTTGCCGAGCCAAGCACATTACACCAAAATTCATCAGTTCTTAAGGCCACAGTAGGTACAGCATGCAAGAGAAATACAGAAACTTACAGGCAATCAGCTAAAGCACAGGGCAACTACACGGAAAAGAGGAAGCTGCTTAAAAATAAGTTAAAAGAAACTGAAAGGATAAAGCGTTCCTCTGTTGCACATATCAGGGAATCAGGAGAAGTAGTAAACATTTAACAAATAAGATTCTGAAAGGACAAAAAAAAAAATTAGAGTAACTCAAACTGATTAAAAGTGGCAATGAGAATGAAGAGACTTAAAAAAAACAAAAAACAAAAAACAAAACCCCAACCTTCTTCTCAAGGAAAACAAGAGAAGAGAGACAATTTAAAACATAACCATAAGGTGGCAAGCCAAAGCAAGAAATAATAACTTTTGAAAAACAAAAGCATGACGTTTTTCAAATTCTTCAAAAGAAAGATGACTAAGAAAGATGAGGGCACTCAGCCTGGGAGGAAGGTTGAAAACTGACTGCCATCCCAGAACCAATGCCAGATTTAAATAACTTTATAAATAATGGTCCATGAACACATTGAATGGGCCTAGCTGAAGAGGAATTAAAAAAACCAACCAAACAAATAACCAACAAACAACTAAACCCAAACTTAAGATACAGAACAAATTCCAAATAAAAGCAGGGATCACCTCAGACTTAGCCAAACCACTAGGAGGAATGACAACCATCGTCTTTTTATAGCTTTGTGCATCTCTAATAAAAGGCATGGTATTTGGGCCAGTATAGGAAAATGCCCAATACTACTAATACCTGCTCAATGTCAACACATACACAAAACAGGACTGAGAAGGACAAAAGCAGCTTCTCTTGGTCACCTGTTGGCAATTTTCCAGTTACTGGACTTCAAAAAAAAAAAAAAAAAGACAAATGGACATAAACAGTGTGTATATATATATATATACACATCCAGACTTTCACAATAATAAAGATCAGAAATAGAGAAGGTAAGAAACAACTTTAACTCACAGCAAAGTTCAGTCATAGAATCAACCAAGGCCCGATAGAGTCCAAGGGACTCTTTAGTTCAGAAGACTAATGACAAGCTGTACAGGGCTAGCAAATTACAAGCTGTATAGGACCCTGATTTCAGCTCAGAATGTCGAAGAAACTGAAGCTGGAGGACATATAAACTTTATTATTTGTGACAAGATTTGTGAATTTTTCAGTTTCTAGAATAAAGCCTGGCATACTAGAGCTCTCTGTAAGGCCTGGGTACAACTGCAACTCACAAGATTTTCTACAGAACCAGTTACTAAACTATTTTAACTTATCTCCAGGGCAACCTTTCTCTACTTCAACTGGGAAAAAAGATAGACAAAGAAAACAGATAATTTCAATTTGAGATGAAAATCACAAGTGCAACTCCATATTTTTAATAAACTAGAAATAAAACAACTTTTCCCATATCTTTATTTAAAAGCATTTTCTTTTCCTCTTCTCTTCCTACTACCTCTGCTTGCACAGTCAGTTAACGTGAGCCTGGACTTCTTAATGTTCAGCAAATTTGTATGGCCTGGCATGCATGTCTGGCTTGACATACCTTGAGACTTTTTCCCTCCCTGACTTCCCTGAAATGCTGGCTATTTACCTTTGAAATTTCATGTAATATGATATGAAAGTCAGAAAGTCACTTAAAAATAATAAACCCAAATGAAACAAAACCCCAGAAGCTTTCCTGCAAACTCAATCTATGACACAGAACACTTGCACTTGTTATATCCTGATGTCTACACCAAACAGCTCTCCATATCTAACACTTGTGCAGTCATAATACAAAGTAAATGATCAACTTTCTCATTTTCTGCATACCAATCCACTATGCATGCAAAAGGTTGAACATAAAACAGAATGTGACTGTTGTAATATTATGAGAAGTGAGAGAAAAAAGTACAGGCAATATTGTGACATTCTGAATCCACACTTCAACAAAAACACTTTAGAAGTGTTTTAAGTTGTTAATAAGCAGAACTGTGAACTAATGAAGAGAATACTTCACAGGTTGCTCAAAAAAAACCCTCTATAAATCAGCTATAAACTTTATAAGGTGCTAAAAATATTAAGATAACATCAAATTTGTTATTTTTCTTCATTATCATATGTTCAGCAAAAAGACAGACAAAACAAAGTGGACAAATAACTCCAATTACTAGTAGTCATTTGTACAGAAATTTTCTGAACCAGAGACCACTCATACCGCTATGTTTTAGAATCACTGATTAACCACATTTTTTTTTACAGTATATCTCAGCTCTGATGGAGTCACTTTATGTATCTCATAGTGAATGTCACAATTTTGTGTGTGTTTTAAAGACTTGCTCCATTTAATTTCAGTTAATCTACTGTTGAGTGCTTTCTCTCTCTTCTGCTATGGAATCCCTTACTGTGCATTTCCAGAACACCCATTGATTTTGCTGACCTTCAAAACAATCCTCCACTATTTTTTTTTTTAATGTTTTCCCAAACTGAAGAGCTTGTACCTATTTAGTTTTGCAAGGCCAGAGTAGAGAGTCCCTTTTCTCTCCTCAGACTACTACTTTGTGACATTCTCCAAGCAAATTAAGGTCTAGTCATGAGTCTGAAGTTCACATCAGGAATAGAGTATCTCATGATGGTTTAATTTTTAGACAGAAAAAGAAGCTGCCAACAGCTGCACTTCTCCCTGGCTGAAAATGGGTCCTGTAATTGTTGGTCTTGTAGACTTGCACATCACAGATCTTCAAGGGTGAAAAATGAGGCAGATTTTCCTTGTGTTGTCAGCATTGAAAAATCTAGCTCAAACCAAACTTCTGCAAATTA